GGCAGCCCTTGTGGACATCTGCCTGCTCCGGTGGCCGCCCAGCCCGTCCTTGAAAACTGCCAGCGATGGCCCCCCGGGCGCCTGTCCCGCTGGTGAAAAGCGCTGGCAGCCCGGGAATCCCTGGGCCTGGGCCGGGGCCTCCCTCCTCCAGGCCTCCGTGCCCTTGCGGAGCTCCGGAGAGCCGGGCCGCCCCTTTTCCCGCAGACAGACCTTCAGCTGCCGGAGGAGCGCCGTGACGCCTCCGGGGAGGCGCGCCCAGCTCCCCTGGGCGGTCTCGACTCAGCCTCTGGCCCCTCAGCGTCTGTCTTGCTAGGAGGGCGGGTAAAGGTACTTTTGCCCCAGCTGGTAGCGTTCGATGAAAGCGAAGGAGATGGGGTCGGGTTTGTACACCGTGCCGGCTTCGGCCAAGCGGCGTGTTATCTTTTAAGAGAGCCGGCGAGCAGTAGCGGGGAAAGTTGGAGAAGGAGCGGGGAGACCCAGGTTCTCGTCCAGCCGCAGCTACGGAAACTCGCTGGGCTAGCGTTAACTGTGTCCGTAGATGCTGACTGCAGGGGCCCCTGAAGGCTTTCCGATAACTCTGTTGTGTAGGACGGCGAAGGCATGGGCTAGGTCGACGGCTTTACTTGCACCCCTGCCGCACGTCAGCGGGCAGTTTGGAAATGTTTTGGCCTGCGTGCCGCCAGTGCAACCCAACCCCAATTTTGTCCCAGGCGTGTTTATCAGTTAGAGTTTCTACTCTAGAGGTGCAAGACAACATGCTGATCTGCATCCCACCAACGCAGAGATCATGCAGTATACTGATAAACACAAATTTGTTTTATCCTTTTGAATATGTGTTAATGTTTTATTATTATTAATTAATTAATTAATTAATCACATTTGTATAGCTGCCCATCTTACAGAAAAGTGACTCTGGGTGGCTTACAACAATCCAATAAAAACAACGCATACATAAACAATCAGTATAAAGTTGTTAATATGTATAAAATAATAATTTAATAATATTAAAAGATAAAAATGATAAAAATATGCAAAGCCTAGATAAGGATAGCCAACTCAGCAATGGAGCCATATAAGCATGTCTCCAGTTCTCTGGGAGCCCCAGGCTTGGTGACATAACCAGGTCTTGAGGGACTTCCGGAAGGTTAAAAGGGATGGAGCTAAACTAATATTGGGTGGGTGGGTGAGTGGGAATGTTCACATTAGTCTGGTCAATCTTAACTTTCTGAATATTTGAAACATAAATTTCCCTTGGGAGGAACATGATGTCTTCTGCAACTAAAATCTACTACAAACTTGTTACTGTACCACCTTTTTTGTCTTAGAATGGCAAAAAAACAACAATTCTATAACAATTTCATGCAGAAATTGAAATTCCTGGCATAATACTGAAAGTAAAAGTAAAAATATTTTAGATACGAATGGGAGAAAAGTGTTTTCCCCAATATTAATGTACTATTTGAAAATATGTGAATTATTTAAAAGTTGACAGGTGATAGAACAAATAAGATTCAAAATATTTATTTTAAATGTAATGTGAACTTCTCATATTTCACTGCTAGTACATGTTTAATATAGGTGTTTCAGATATATTGATATATACTTAAATTAGAGCTGTTCATAAAGGTCTGGCACTCACACCAAGAGGTCAAGGTAGGTGACTGGGTGATGTGCATCTTGCCTTTTAAATCTCTGTCAGAGCATCTTATCTATTTAGGTATCTTCATGGTTTACTGAAAACAAAGCATAACATTTATTTAAACCATTGCCTCAGGCTTATTTATTAACCATACCAATACGGTAAACATTGTTTCAGTTTAAGAAACATGATATTCTAAAGTGAGTTCTACACAGTATTATCTGGTTGAGATAATCATTTTATTTAGCAATTAATACAGCTTGTTTTAGAATACCCTCAGACTTTCATTAGGCAATTTTCATAGATCCCTGATATTGCCATTTGGTATCTAATGCTGGCTAATTAATAATAGATTTGATATAGATTTATTTTTCAATCTCATTCTGTAGTACCATACTGATTTTTATGTTGAAATTTGCTTTAATGACCTTTCCAGTATTAAAAATATTCTTGATCTTCATCTAGATCTCAACTAAAAGTGCAATTATTTCACTGCTGATATTGACAATGTTTGCTGTGTGAATGTTATTCACTATGTGCAAATATGTGACTATTGTTTCTCAAAGGGGATATGTAAAATCTTGTTGGAGTTTCAGAAGTTTTTCCTTCATTGATAGTGATAAACTTGAAATGTTTCTTTCATTTAAAATAATGACGAATTAACATATTGGCAAGTTAAAATGGACAATTACAGCTGCAGATGTCCTCTGGGTATCTCCAGTCAGTAGGAGATGTTTAGCTTCAAAATAGACTGGAGGGTAGGAAGTATATAGATCTCAAATAAGGTGTAACTGAGGGAAAGAGATTCTCATGATGGCAGCAAGGATTTGTTTCCTTCGTCCCTTCCCAGATAGGCCCTCAGTGGGAATGTTGCAATGCGAAGGCACACTTCTTGTAGGCAGAGTAGAGCAGGAGCATTGCACGCAGCATTTGCCGGCATATGGTCATGGCCATGCGCACTTGGGGCTCCCGGAGCCCACGGGGCCAGCGCTGGCGGGTGCTTATGACTTGACAGAAGGCTGAGTGCTCTGACACCCTCAGTGAGCCAGTCCAACGTGGGGGCTGTACTGTCACAAGGCGTCCGAATACCGAATCAATCCCTGTAAGACGCACAGCCTGGGGTTTACGCACAGTCCCAGTGCGCCCCCTTGTCTCTCCAGCTGCTCCAGGTGGCTGTGGCTGTCCTGTTCCCATCTTTGCACTAGGCTCCAGTACCAGGCTGAGACCCTGGAAACAAAGCTGCACTTCCAGATCAGCAGCAGCTGGGCTCTGGCCACCTTGGAAGATAGGCTTGGAAGCCCCAGGCCTGGGTATGGTGCCCCTCAGCCATTGCAGAGATTCATCTAGTGGGGACCAGGGTGCCCATAGTTGGTACCCCCCAGCCATGGTCAGGGCCACCAACTAGCCATTACCCTGTGCTACCCCTTACTCTTGATGCATCTTTCTACTACTTGGTGCCCTTGGCAACCCTTTATGAACATGGGCAACTTAGAACTTTCTGATTGATGCAACATTCTGGAAGCTCCTCTGCCAGTTTATCTTCTCTGCTGTCAATTACACAGACAGCTTCTGGTACAAAGTCAAGGAATATATTGAAATTCTCAATTTTTAACTGAAGTAACATGAGAGCATGTTGCAGACTTAAATTTTCTGCTTTAAGTGCAGAGAATACAGGGACAAGAGCCTCCTTTTTCAGAAGAGACCAGAGAGACAAATTGCAGGTTATGGTTAGGGTTAGAGTTATGATTTTTTTTTAAGTAAGATTTTTTTTATTTATATAAAACCATTCTACAACTAAAACAAACTGCTCACGTGCAGATGAGTGTACATAAGAATTATACTGTTGAAATCAAAGCATTTGAAAATTGTGGAAAACAACAAAGGTAAGGAAAAAGAAACTTTAAAAAATACGAAAAAGCACAAGACAAGCAGGACAATGCAAGCCTCTCAGCCATGTTTTCTTTGTATTGTTATCAAACTCTGGAAAACTATTAATAAAAACACTAAAGAAATTATGTTGGCTTCCTTGTCTCTATAGCTATCATGTACATTCAGTCCCTTCACTGGGTGGCAGCAGGAAGAAGAGGAAAATCCCCCATCCTCAATCCATCAGAATCTATAGTCCAACAACAAAGGGACTATTCCTGCCATGGCCGCAAAGTCTGCCATCTTGAACGAGGTATTTGTTCCCGCTCAGCAAGGCAAAGGCAGTTGAAAGGTCTCAAAATTTGCTGAACTGTTGGTGACTCTCTGTACCTCACTCCGAATGATTGTCTGCTGTTGCTGCCATTGCCATCATTGTTCACTCTGCAGGTCCACGACTGCTTGGAGGACCAAAAGGATGAGGAGATGTATGATGGACCACGGAAGGTGTGCTGTTATCTTCCTTAAGCATGTTGGTGCAGCTGGGAGATGGTAATGGTGCCGCTCCCTTTGTTGGAACCTAAAATGCTGCTGCTGTTGCTGTTCTTGCGGCACTTGCAGGAGCCCCTGGTAATCCTGTGGCTCTGTCCCTAAGGTAATAGCGTCCCAGGGCAAGTTGGTCAGGAAGGGACACCACAAGGTCGAAGTGAACCTAACCCAAATAGCCTAACTTACTGGACTGCGTGTCACTTCATGTCCCACTGAATCTTGGGAACTACCAGTGGTGGGCAATAGCTCTTGAAGGGCCACCTGGATGCATTACAGGAGGGGGCAAAGGCACATTTCTGCCACTTCCCAGGGCCAGGGCCACTTCAAAGGGCAGAACGAGGTGGTAAAAATGCCACCTGACCTCCCACAGAGAATATGGGACTCTCGTCTATAAAGGGGGAAGACCAGGAAGCGGTCCCTTCTGTTGACAGGGGAGGTGGGGTGGCCACTCTGGTCGATGACACACCCTATCTTGGGGCCTGTTGTAAGAATACAAGGGACATGATGCCCCAATCTATCCCCAATTTCACTCTGTCAGTGTGTCAGGTTTACGAAGTTCAAATCCCAATGAAGAAAAATCTTGTGCAACCCAGGTTAGGTTCAAAAAAGATTTCAT